AGCCATGACGTGATCATGGATATGAAAAGAATGTTGAAAAGAAATTTTGACATGATAGATATGGGTATAGTCGATGTAGCTCTTAGAATAATGATTATCAAAACGCAAATTGGAATTGTCTTGTCAAAATCTCACTACGTAGAGAAACTGCGCAAGAAATTTGATGCCTACGACGGTCTGTTGTCACTTAGTCAGAATATATACGGAAAACAGGAAGTGTGATGTACTTGACGATTGTACAAGACCAGACTTCGCCTATCCGCTGAATAAGTTGAGTAGATTTACTAGCAATCCCAATCATGAGAACTAGAATGGTTTGAAAAGTGTACTTACGTACTTGAAGTACACCCTTGAATACGAGCTAAAATAATCGAGATACCCAGATGTACTTGAAGGGTACTGTGATGTAAGTTTGATATCATATTCGAGAGATTCTCACTGCACGAGCGGATATGTTTTCTTTTGGAGGAGGTGTTGTTTCATTAAAATTCACAAAACAAACTTGTATAGATCGGTCCACCGTGAAATCAAAGTTCATCGCTTTAGACAAAGCCGGTGAAGAAGCTGAGTGCTTCGAAAATTTTTATCTGATACTCTATATTGGATTAAGTATTTTCCGCATGTGATGATTCACTGTGATAGCCAAACTATTATAAGAAGGGGCAGAACAATATTTATAATAGTAAGTCTAGACATATTCATCGTAGACATAATACCGTACACAAATTGTATAATTTCCATTGACTGTGTAAGTTCTAAGGATTATTTGGCTGACCATTTTGCTAAATGAATAAATATAGATCAATTGGGAATATTGCTAGATGGGATGAGCTTAAAAATTCACAATGAAAATAATGATCATAGTGGTAATCCTACCTTGTTAAATAGAGATCCCATGAACTTGGTTCAAGGGGAAAACTAAGATATAAAAATTCAGCTGAGCAATTGGAACATAAGAATATTAAAATCTATTCTGTAAAGCACTACAAGTGCAAGATTACATTTTGATTGTGGTGAGATAGTCATCTAGACTTTTAATGAATCTATAACATTTTAAAGGTGTAGTTATACATGATACTCATGATATGGAAGTCACATATATAAGTGTGAAGTGAGGATTGCTTCAAATGTAAACAATAATGAATCTAAAGTGTTGTCCATAAATTCAAAGTGTTGTCCATTGTCAAAGGTGTAGTTATACATGATACTCATGATAGGGAGGTCGCCTATATAAGTGTAAAGTGAGGGTTACTTCAAATGTAAACAATTATGAATCCAAAGTGTTGTCCATAGTCAAAACGAATGTAACAATATAACGTGATTGAGTTAAGGCTCTATTGTATGAACGTCATTCCCTCGGTGTACACCAACATCCAATGATTTTTACTAGGAAAGGTTCAAAGCCACAAGCTATCTTTTCTAATGCAATAGAGTCTTGTGAGGATTGAGCACAAGAGTTTACATACATGAATACATTTTATTTTCACTCATGTGGGGGGATTGTTAGAAAATCAGTATGAAAAAATAGAACATGACCCGGTTTTGACTTTTTCTTTTTATGGTTAAACATTTAATTCAGGTTGAATTAAATTGTGTAAAAAAATATACGCTCTAAATAGATACTCGCAGTATATTATTTTTTCAAAATTGATTTTCAGTGAGTGGGAAATAAATGATTGAAGTTATCTATTATTGAGCACGTAAAATGTTGGTTGTCAGATTCGAATGGTCAAGAGTCATTTTCTACATTGGACTCTCAAATGAGATTAACTGTCTTTATTAAAATAATGGGAGTTGGATAAGTCACAATAACAACAAAGCTATGCATCAAGTGTTGGTGATGACTTCGTCCATACGCGCGTGCGCGCCGGCTGGTCGGCCGGTAAGATCGACTCAAGCTCGGGCTCGGACACAGGCCTGGGCCAGGGATTCAGGCCTTGGGCCTTAGTATTTGTTCCTTGGTCCTTGACATATGGACTATGGGCTTGACTTGGGATGCCTTGGATAGTCTAGGTCGATCTTGCCAATTTATTTGAAGAATTAGAGCCCAATATGAAATCCAAATTGAGTTGGATTTAGACTAGGGGTTTGACCCATCCGTTTAAGAAATCTCTAGATACATTGTATCCGGACAGTTGACTCCACCTCACCATTTTAGGTGGATTAGTTGTGTGTTAATAGCTGAAAACGATAAACTTAACATCTCTTCGTTTTTGCCAATTTACAACTGCCATTAGTGGCTGTTAACTACCTTAGTTGGCTGAAGTCCAGAGGTCATTCCCTACTGGCTAGAATTCTTATAAATAAGACATGATATAGAGCTGTAGAAGCATACACAACCTCATCTGCATTCTTACTCTACAGAAAAGCCTCACAGATCATAACATGCATTGCTCAATTCACGACCTTGTTCTAGTTTGTCGGAGTTCTGAAGTCTGGTGTGCTACAACTTTATAGACAATTGTCGTTGTATCTCTGGGGACGAAACATCATAACCCATCAGTACTACACGAGGCGTATTCATCTTTCAGGAAGAGATATTCTCGACAAGGCTATACCCTTCGCGCTTTTAGTTCAATTTAAATTTTTCTATTTTTTTTTTCAGATTGTAAGAACTGAATCATACATTTCATTTCGTATGATTCCCGTGTAATCGAAATTATCCGTTTGTTACAAACATTAGTT